ATAGACAATAGCTAATCTTTTACTCAATAGCTACCCCCAGGAAATCCTCCCTGATCCTAAAACTGCATTTGTTCATTAGATGCTCCTGGCCTGTGTTCCCATTGTATCTAGATCCTAACCCAGTTATAATCTTATTACATTGTTATCATTAATGCTTTTTAAAAGTTTTACTATTCATCACTAGAGTGTAAGTTCTTTGTAGACTAGCAAGGCTCTCTTGTTAACAATTATAGCCCTAATGTCTACCATTTGTACAATCAGTACTTTGTAAGCACTCAGTAATTGTTTATTGAATGTAAAAATGAACAGTATATGTGAAAGGTGAAGCTAGATAGGTCTAATGATGCTTAGATCCTAGGAAAGGGCTTATGGTTCATGTTTCTGACAGGAGATTATTTAGGTAGTTTGTTTAACCATTTCACATGACCAGTGTGTTAATGTCTGAATTTAATTTACTCATTCTGTGTCGTCTTTAAAGCCAAACTTTTCAGTAAAACGAAACCAAACAAAAATACACCCCCAGCAGTCTGTATTTCAGCTCCCCACCCCCACCAGATAACCTTTTTTTTAAAACATTTTATGTTTGTGGGTGCACAGTAGGTATATATATTAAGGGTATATGAGATATTGTGATGCAGGCATACAATGTATAATAATCACATCAGGGTAAATGGGGTATCCATCACTCAAGCATTTACCATTTCTTTGTGTTACTGATATTCCCATTATACTCTTTTAGTTATTTTTAAATGTACAATAAATTGTTGGCTGTAGTCACCCTGTTGCACTATCAAATACTAGATCTTATTCAACATATCTATACAAAATTATCTTAAGTTTGAATTATAGAGGCGTTTTCACAGTAGCAACCAGTAGGTACTGACACCATCACTGACAATAGCTTTAGGTCACACTCTGTGTTTCTGAGTGACAGCCAAACACAGTAGATACTTACGTCACCACCTAGTTTATCTTCAAATATGAAGGACTCCAGTGACACTCACTTTTACTCCTTGCATCTTTGGTAGTAAAGAAGAATCTTTGTCATCCCCAGGACCTCGTCTTTTTGTTTGTTTGGTACATGGAATGAAATGACTCAGGTGCCTTCTTTCAGTTATTTAAGTTGTATAGTAAGATCAACTGTAGAATACTATCAGGCATCTTGGAATAATATCTTTATCATCATCCAATTGATGCTTCTTCCAGTTTTGTTTCCTGTTGCTGTCACTCAATCTCTGTCATTAATTGCACTAAAATAATAATTCTCTATTGTGTCCTGACATATTGTTTTGTTACAATTATTTGGAAGGTCTTGTTACTACTGCACATTAAACAACAATTCTAAGGTATGTGAATTGTTTAATTTTAAAAAGTGTAGTCATTCTTGCTTATTTCCATTCTGATCTTCATATAGGAGTTAAAGATGGAATTATAGCTAACCGCAGTGATGAGAAATTCATGGTGAACAGTGCCACATACCCTTTCACTCTCTCCCTGCCCATTTAGACCTCCATAATTATTAATCGTTATAGTGTGCTTTCTCAATGCAGCCTACTGTCCAGTCTCAGCACAGCGAGTACTTCAGATCATCACTGCTTGTCAGGTTTAGCCCTCAAGATGCCAGGACTAGCTTTCCTTATATAGTTCCCACTTGTTCACTGCACAAAATACCTGTTTACATATCTATGCCCTAAGGTTTGTCCTCGCATGGTAATTTCTGAGCTCATATTTTGGGTGCTATTTATCCCTCTTCCGTGCTGTTCTTTGTAGTGTCTACTAAACAAAACTTGTAATGATGTGGTAACAGTAAACATTTATGAGTGGTTCTCATGATGTAGCAGGTACTGCATTAAGTACCTGACATGTATTATTTCATTGAATTCTTTTACTAACACCAAGAGTTAGGGCCTATTGCTCTTCTCATTTTATAGATGGAGAAACTAGGGCAAGGCTAAATAATTGGTAAATGGCAGAGCCTGAGTTTGAATCAAGGCCACCTGACTTCTGAGCCCAAATTGTTAACCTCTGAGGTAGCCCTTAAAGAAGGTTGGGTTAAAACCAAACTGATTGATAGTGAACATACTGCTTTTGCCTATGTTGGCACTGGCTAGAATGAAAACCTTTTCCTTTATATTTTCCCAGATTCCAAACTAACTTGGCCTAACCTTTCAAGTCTCTAAGAAATTTATAGTTTTATATCTATTAAAAAAGTCTTCTGGTAGACTTCATAAATATGACTTAGGTTTTTATTAAACTCTTTTGCTCGTATCTTTCTATATCTCAGAAAACCTTTAATTTTTGAGACAGTAGCTATTTGTGTAGGCTGTCTTATACGTTCACAGATGGCATTATTTTATCAGTCCTCAAACCATCTGTAGCATCAACTTAGTCTATTCCAATTGGTGTCATCTTTCATTTATGCAGGAGTGAGTTATTAAAGTAAAATTTTATATTTGTATAACATTTTGGGTAAATGTTAGAGTAAAACATTGGTTTATTTTATCACAACAATCCTTTGCAAAGAAAATTTATTTTTTCCAGCTCATCTTGATTTACTTTATATGTAGTCTTCGGAATGAAATTGAATCAAATAACTGTTTATTGAGCACAAATTATTATCTTGAAATGTAAGGATAAGAAATGACCCCTGTGTTCACTGAATTTATAGTCTTGTAGGAAAGACAGTGAAGTAGTAAATTCCCATTGAAGAAGAAATACAATTATGATTACCATTATGCGAAGAGAAAAGATGGTAGTATGGGAAATGATAGTAAAGGGATTAAGTCTGGTCTAGTGAATCTAGAAAGGCCTTTCAGGGGAAGAGTGGGCAGGAGTTCACCAGACGAAGTGTAGCTGATGGGTGATAGGGAAGAGGAAAATAACATTGTAGGCAAAGTAAGCAGCAAATGAGAAAGCCTCCATGGCAGAGAGCTTGGAGTAACTAAGTCATTGAAAGATATGCAGTCTGACTGGAACTTAGAGTAGGAGGAAGAGAGTGACATGTGATCTCAGGGGAGACCTGAGAGCTAAACAGGTATCAGTTGTTTTTTAGGACAATTAAAGATTCTGGATTTGAACCTAAGATTAATGGCAAGTCACGGATGAGTTTAAAGCGGAGGTGTGGCATGAACAGATTTGGGCTTTAGGAAAACCACTTGGGCTGCCGTGTGGAGAATGAGTTGGAAAAAGGGACAGAAGTGGGGGGGAAAGTTAGGCTGTTTCAATATGAGTTTTACTTAGGCTATAGTAGTGGCAGTAGAGGCGGAGGGTGGTGGATAGATTACAGAGGCCACCCTGCTGAGATTGGAAGAGCCAACCCGTGTGTGTACAAAGCTCTGTCTTGCTTTCCTGCATTGTACTATTGTACTAACAAATGGTCTTTCTGCATATAAGAGTATGAGCCAGAGAAAAATGAACAAACATGAGGCCTGAAGTTAGTATAGAAGCTCTGTATTATGAAAAGGCATGATCTCACAGGTAGTTAAGGATAATAAAGACAAAAACACTCAACTAAATGGAAAGTCCTCAGTTTGATTGTAATCTAGCCAGGATCCTGATCTGAGATTTGCTCTTCATATTAGTGTGTATGATGTCAACAGAATTTTGAGAGACAGACATGTTTATTCAGTGGCCGATGCCTCCTTTCCCCCAAAACATCTTTCATCCACTTGCTTATTTATTCATTGTATTCATTTACAAATACTTCAAATCCTTACTGAGGGCTTACTACTCACCAGACATGTTTACTTATCTTAGTTTTTAATACTACATATGGCCATTATTCCTAGTGTGGGCCTTTGATGTTTATAGGTACTTCATGGACCACTTCTCATTGAGGATACATTTAGTCCATCAGGTTTCCGTTTTAAGTTGACTCATCACTTAAAGTGTAGCCATTGGTAAAATCCTGCAATCTGATCTCCTGTGGCCCATATCCTCTGCATTTTCTATTGCTACTCCCCAGTCTTTGGTCAGGGTCAGTATGTTTAATTCCATTTCATTCAAACAGTTGGTCAGTTCAGCCATCACCACCACCACTAAGTCATCTTGTTGATCATTGTTGAACTATTACATTAGCCAAGGTAATGCAAGCTATCAGCAAACAAGTTCTCCATGTAAGTGGCTTAAATACATTAGAAGTTTATTTCTTGCTAATATAAGTTCAATTGGTAACAGATACAGGAATGGTGGATTTTCTGCTCCACTGTGGACTCAGGCTGATGGAGTCACCATGGGGCTCACAAGCTTGCCTAGCTGGCAAAGGGAGTTAGGTGAATGTGAAAGCTTATTCAGGAAGTTTTTATGGGCCAGGGCTAGAGGTGGCTTACATCATTCCCACCCATGCTTCAGAACTCAGGTACATGGCCATACTTAACTACAGGGGAGACTGGGAAATGTAGTCTGTGTGTTTTCTTGGTAAGCCTGTCTTTGTCAAACCCAGCTAGTGAATGTCCTTGTACAATACCTGCTGTTTGATTCAGATATAATAAGAGGCATGGAAGGACCAGATCTATTGTTGTAGGACTTTTTCCTTAGTTCAGCTAAAGACAGTGGGGTTGGGGGAGGGTGGTCCTCATCACACAGCCATGTAAAATTAGGCTCACAGACAGTTCGAAGGAGGAGAAAAATGGAATTCATTGGGCAAAGAGGAATAAAAAGGGAAACAGGGACTCTCCACCAAGTCAGAACAAGAATCTTGCTAGTATGCTTCCCGCCTCACAGACTGTAATCCCAGGTCCACCCAGGAGGAGGAGGGGCCAGGCTCCTCCCTGCTGCCAAAAGCATGAACTTCTGTGTCTCCACTCCAGTGTACCCTCCTCCCAGTGCATATGCCCATTGGAGTTTTTTCAGGGTGCCCTTCCCACCTGTCTCAATATGAAGGAGGAATTTCCTTTGTGCCTAATAAGTGGCTGTGTCACAGTCCTGGACATTAGAATGGGAAATGTCTACATTCTGAACTCCTAACATATCTGATCATTGCTATTACTCTTTTCTCACAGGGAAATAAATGCCCGGCTTGATGCTGTATCTGAAGTTCTCCATTCAGAATCTAGTGTGTTTGGTCAGATAGAAAATCATCTACGTAAATTGCCTGACATAGAGAGAGGACTCTGTAGCATTTATCACAAAAAAGTAAGTGTGACAGAAATCTAATAAAGCTGACAGTGTTCTTCAGCTCACAAATTAAAAGAAAACTTTTAAAGGAAAGTTTTATTAAAAGAAAACTTCTGAGAGCTCTATTATTATTTTATTTTGTAAAATCTTACAAATATAGCATGCGAGACTAGCTGAATCCTCAGAAATTTTAATAGCACAAATTAGAATTATTCCAATTTAACCATTGTAAAAAATAGTTTTCTCATGTACATTAACTACAGCCACATAGAGGCCCTTCTCTTATAATACAGGATATTCTCCTGTTTCATCCTGAAAGTATAGACTATTATCAAAATAGGAAATTTATGTAGACTGGTTATTTTAGAAAAAAGATACCTTTTTTCTTTTGATCTTAGAACAACTTTTTATTTCTTAAACTAAGGAAAAATCTGCTAGTATAACATCTGTGGTGGTAATTAGTATGAAAACAAGCTTGGATATTGAAGGTGAGTAAAGGATTATTTTGATTTTTATCACTTAAGCTTTATAGTTTGAGTCATAGCAAAAATGAGTCATTTTCCACTTTTAGGGAAATAATTTAGGTTATCTTCAAAATATGCCTAAAATTTAAAAAAATTATTAATACTTTTAAATGATAAAAAACACGATAAACTCTTTATGGGGTTTTACTTTTTGCAGAAGTCATTCACACACTTTATACTCTTTGTTCCTTGTCAAAACTTTATGACATTGAGAAGTTACTATTTTTATTACGTTCTTACTAATAAGAAATTGTATCTAATGCTATGTATGTGTGTGTGTGTATATATATATGTGTGTGTGTGTGTGTGTATATATATATATATAAATTGCTGCAACCACTTGAATTACTTTGGCTCATATGATGATGCTGAGAGGTTTAATAACTTGCTAGTAACAGAATCTGTATTTAGACCCAGGATTCTTGATTGTGTTTTCATTGGCTATGTCTTTTGGACACTATCATGTTTGATGTGTTATCTTGACTGCCATTTTTTTTTTTTTCTGTTTGCCACTTTTCATAAGCAAATTTTATTTTTCCTCCAAACGTAACTCCTTGCCAATATAATAATTTTACTGTAAAACAGTTTTTATATGCCTAAATTTTTACTTTATTTTTGAGACAGAGTTTCATTCTTGTCACCCAGGCTGGAGTGCAATGGGGTGATCTCGGCTCACTGCAACCTCCACCTCCCAGGTTTAAGCGATTCTTCTGTCTCAGCCTCCTGAGTAGCTGGGATTACAGGCACCCGCCACTATGCCCTGCTGGCTTTTGTATTTTTAGCAGAGACGGGGTTTCACCACATTGGCCAGGCTGGTCTCGAACTCCTGACCTCAGGTGATCCACCCGCCTTGGCCTCCCAAAGTGCTGGGATTACAGGCATGAGCCACCGCACCCAGCCTATATGCCTAAATTTTAGTTGTGACCAAGTTTTCATTAGAGTTTCTATATTTTTCAGCCCCTTTTACCCCCACAGAATTTTACTAGAATAAGTACTGCTTCTAAGAATACTTGAGGTGCCCAAGAGGACTTATGTAACTGTTTTACATGCTTCAGCTAAATTTGAAAACAATGCACAAGCCAGAATTGGAAATACTGATCCTGGGGTGAAAGAATGTAGGAGTTGGTTATGGGGTCAAGGGAGCCTATTGTATCATTATTGGGTACACCATGTTGTTGTTTTGCTGGCAATAGCAGAAGCTGTGCTGATAGTTGCAAGTTTTATGGTAGATCTTTTTGAAGTTGCATAGTGGTTGCCAAACCATTTGTTGTTTTGTATCCTAGGCTCAGAGTCTGAAAATTGGTGCATATTAACCTTCTTTAAACAACGGCTCTCCGGGCACCTTGCCTTAACTACTTGAAAGGATTCACTGACAGATGTCAGAGATTTTTGTTTTTCTTTTTTTTTTTTTTTTTTTTTTTTTTTTGAGACGGAGTCTCGCTCTGTCGCCCGGGCTGGAGTGCAGTGGCCGGATCTCAGCTCACTGCAAGCTCCGCCTCCCGGGTTCCCGCCATTCTCCTGCCTCAGCCTCCCAAGTAGCTGGGACTACAGGCGCCCGCCACTGGGCCCGGCTAGTGTTTTGTATTTTTTAGTAGAGACGGGGTTTCACTGTGTTAGCCAGGATGGTCTCGATCTCCTGACCTCGTGATCCACCCGTCTCGGCCTCCCAAAGTGCTAGGATTACAGGCTTGAGCCACCGCGCCCGGCCTTGTTTTTCTTAAGAGAAAACAGAAGCAAAGCTGAAAATCTTTCAATGACTACTGAAATGCACTAAGTCAAAGTGTCTGTGGCATCAAGATGGCAGCATCAGTTCATGGGGCTGTGATTTCTTTTCCACCTTCCTGCCTTTTTGTAAACTTTACTTTGATGTTTGTATTGCACAGGGTTTGTGTATTTATAAAAGTTTCAAAACTCTAGTAAAGTCAGAATCTAATTCATTTAAAAAGTGGCCACTATGCAGTGCAAGAATGACTTATTTTGGAATTTAAAAATATATTTTACTAAAGGAACTTATAACTCACTTGGAAGCCATTCCTTGTTGCTGTTTTAGTGTTTGTTTGCACAAGAATGTGCCTAAAGATTAGTTTGAAGGGTGAAGAGTAGAAATGATCTGGTAACAAACCAACTTCAGGAAAGCTGAATGCTTTAAACTAATGTTTTATAGATTAGTTGGCTGGCTCTACGAACACACCATCAAACATATGTCTATTCTTTATTATTAGATTACTCTACATAAGCTTCTATGTACACCACATAGTGAGTGATGTCCTGGGTACAGATTATGCCAATTATGTGAAATTCATAAAACGAGAAGGAACACCGGATATTGTGGGAAGTGGTCAACACAGGCTGTACGGTTTTGTGGAACGTGTCCTGGAATACGTACCAATAGGTGTTTTTATGTCGATAATGATAGAGGATCTCAAGTGAGCTGATTCTGGCATAAAATAAACATTTCTTCTTCTTCTTCTTCTTTTTTTTTTTGAAACAAGATCTCACTGTGTAACCCAGGCTGAAATGCAGTGGCATGACCACAGCTCACTACAGCTTCAGCCTCCAGCCTTCTGAGTAGCTAGGACAACAGGCATGTGCCGCCATGCCCAGCTAATTTTTTTTTTTTTTTTTTTTTTTGTATTTTTTGTAGAGACAAGATCTTGTCGTGTTACCCAGGCTGGTCTCCAACTCCTGGATTCAAAGATCCTCCCACCTCAGCCTCCCAGTGTGCTGGGATTACAGGCGTGAGCCACTGCTCCTAGCCTAAAATAAACATTTCTTTTGATGACAAAACTTTAAATTCAAATCTTGTAAATAGTGCTAGTCACAGGAACCCATACTAACTTTGCTCAAGAACTGTTTTGTAAGAAAGTGTTAAGTAACTGCCGAGGTTGGTGAATACATTTAAAGGATAATCGCACTTAGCAAATGTTGAGGAGAGTTGTTTTCAGAATTTTCTAGGTGAGAATCGTTTTTTAGCCAGGCAGGAATAAGCCCAAAGCCCTGTTTTCAGTGTTGCGCTTAAGCTGGGGTCCTTTCCATCCTGTGTCCAGTGAGGCCCTGCCTCCGTACTTGTGGGTCTGTGCTCAAGCTCTCCCAGTGAGACAGCTGCTGCCAGAAGTAGGGCTGAATTCCTGGAGAGTGACTCCAGGAGCAGCCACCTACCCATGCTCAGCTTTCTTGCAGCTTCTTTTGAGTTCTTTTGCTTAAGAAACTTGAGAACAACCTGCTGCCTCTGGCTTTCAAGGTGATTGTAAAACACTACTGGTTTTCACCTTGCTTCTGTTGTTGACTTAACTTTACATTGTGTCTCAGCTTGGAAAATTAATCCTTTTCTTGGGATTACAATAATTACAACAGGTGAATATTCAAAATTATATTGAAAATGTTTATGTTTAGTTCTTTACTTTTGTTAAAAGGTATCATTAATTGACTAGTGGCCAAAAAGCTTCTAGGTTTCATATTTATGTAAACAGTCCAGCTTCCTGTATGGGGTGGGGAGGGGGTCTTTCTGGAGAAAAGTTGCCTCATGATACACTTAGAATTCAACATTTGCTCAGCTGGACCTAACTTCTTACTTTTTTTGCATAATTTACTTCACCCTTTGTGGTTAATTACGTTTTTGAATGTGTTCTTAGCCTTAATCTATTTCATATATACTACTTATTATGTGCCTTATTACCTTAGCCTTAAATTGTTTTCTCAAGACAGTTCTTTTCAGTCAACATTCTGTCAGTTTTATTTTCCTGAGCTGTCTTCTAGAGCCTTCTGACTTGATCCAGTATGGACTGGTTGTCCTCATATCTGTTGTATAGTACTATCTTAAATTCCCTTTACTTCCCTTGAGTTGAATCTGTTATTTTCTATATTCCATGTCTTCCTCTTGGTTTATTTCTTCATTTTGGTGGAGTACATCCTCTAGAATCTTCCTGAGAATGTTGGAAGTAAATCTTTTGAAACATTCATGTCTGAAAGTGTTTTTTTTTTTTTGTTTTGTTTTTAAATTATCGTTGTTACTACCTTCACATTTGATTGGTAGTTTGAATGGGTATAAAATTCTAGGTTTTAGATGACTTTACTATCTTTACTACCGCTTCTCTTGAATTTTTCATTTCTACTATTATACTTTAATTTCCAAGAATTTTTGTTTTCTTGTTCTCCAAACGTTTTTTCTTTTTAAAAGTAGCATCTTGTTTCATGGTTGTAGTATCTTCTATTTCATGGAAGATATTATTAATATTTTTAGAAGTTCCCTCGCAGGGCAGAATCCAAATTGGTACACAAGTCTTTTTGGATTCTTGATGTAAATTGTGTCTCAGTTTTCCTTAAGGACAGTTTAAAATTCAGGTACCTTGAGTCTTTTAAGTCAATCACTATTTATCCATTTACTTTATAGCTTCTAACATATTGTTGCTGTTGTCTTCTTTTCTAGTGTGGTTTTTTCCTTTTTTTTTTTTTGAGATGGAGTCTTGCTCTGTTGCCCAGGCAGGAGTGCAGTGGTGCGATCTCGGCTCACTGCAACCTCTGCTTCCTGGGTTCAAGCGATTCTTCTACCTCAGCCACCTGAGTCACTGGGATCACAGGCGAGCACCACCATACACGGCTAATTTTTGTATTTTTAGTAGAGATGGGGTTTCACCATGTTGGTCGGTTTGGTCTCGAGCTCCTGACGTAATCCACCCACTTCAGCCTCCCAAAGTGCTGAGATTACAGGCATGAGCCACTGTGCCTGGCTGGTTTTATGCCTTTTTAAACAATCTCTTAACTGTTGTTTGAAGATGGAAATTAGATGCACATGTGTTTAACCCACTCTGTTTACCAGAAGCTACGATGTAAAAATTATTCATGTTCATGTTAAAAAAAAAACTACAGTAGTATGCAAGGGTATACAATAAAGGGTAAAAAGTCTCCCTCTGCCACCCCTCCATACCTACTACCCAGAGGGTAACCAGAGTAAGTCACATGTGTTACCTCCTAAAATTTTTATTGATATTTAGATTTTTCTATTTATATAGAAAAATGTATATCATTTAAAGAATCACAAAGAAAGTATTACCATGTAAATACATAAAAATATATACATATATGGGCTATGTGGTATATGATATAAACATACTATATATATTCAATGTATGTTGAAATTATGGAGTTCTATACTGATACAAACATCTTAAATTTTTTTAGCTGTTTCATAGTATTACATTGCATGAGTTTTTCCTAATAAGATCCCAATTGATGGATATTTATTTCTTATTTATCTTTTTAAATTATAAGCAGTGCTACTATGAATATTCAGACACATGTTTTTCACTATTTGTTAGTCTATTTTAGATAAATTATTTAAAGTGATGTTTATTCAAAGGGTTATATGCACTTTTTTGTTATGAAGACATGCCAAGTTGTTTTTCAAAAAGGTTAGTCCTCTGCTAATAGTATATAAAAGTGTCTTTTTTTTTTAAATCCTGTTACATGGTTATTGTGGAGCTTTTAAATATTTGACATTCTGATAAGTGAAAAATGCTATCCTGTATTTCTAATTTGCTTGTCTTTAGTTGTATATGAAGATAATCATGTACATACTGACTGTTTCTATGAGCTGCATATTCAGTTTGTTTAGCCATTGTTCTTTGGATTATTCATCTTTTTCATGTCAATTTGTAAGAGCCTATTATGTTTGGGAGAATTTTGCCTTGTGTTTGTTATGCCTTACAGATATTATCCTTCACATTTTTTAGCTTGTTTAACCTATTTTTGCTATTTGGTTTATGCTATTTTAAAATGAAAAAATACTAAACAAGTATTGGCTTTGTTTTCCTTGGCTAAAATTATTTTCTTTATGCCTAAAATACTACATAGTATTTAACCTCATTTAGAAAATATCAGTGATATTTTATTTCAACTAACTAGTTAATAGAAAATTTAAACTTTCCTCAATTCTGATTCTAACTTTAAAAGATCACTAGTTAATCATTTTCATGTATCTTATGCTATTTTGTAAAAAAATTTCTATTTTCAGTGTTCTACCCAAGAGTTCTTCTTGATTGTCAAAACCTTATATCACCTAAAGTCAGAATTTCAAGCAATAATACCTGCTGTTAATTCCCACGTTCAGTCAGACTTGCTCCGCACCGTTATTTTAGAAATTCCTGAACTCCTCAGTCCAGTGGAGCATTACTTAAAGATACTCAATGAACAAGCTGCCAAGTAAGTACCAGACCCTGAATTCTTCTTTTTCAACAGTCAGTATACTCCAGTGCATTTGCCATTTGATTTGTGGATTCTTAATCTTTACTAGAAGTTGAATGAGTACATATATAATTAGAAATGTGATTGGACCCTTAAAGTGTTACATTACAGTTGGAATACTTGCTATCTAAAATTTAGGCAGTTTACCATCTAGGACAGATATAGTACTCCCCCAGGTATCAGATGATGGAAAGGTAAAACACAGGCAAAGCCAAGCAGTAGTAGATTATTAACCCCAAAATGAATGTCAGATATCGTGTACTCATTTCCTATATTTCCAGAGATGTCCTTATATTTAGAATCTGTAAAAGCAAAGTTATCCTTTAAAAGGTAGTTCTTTTATAACGTATTGCACAAAACATTCTATATAAATGAAATAGGATTTGACATTTACATTTGTCTTTGTTTTCTGCATAGGCAAACAACAAATAGTGTATCTCTTGGTTTTACCATGGGAATCATGAACTTAAAAAGTGAAAATGATATTAGGGTAATTTTGACCATCCTCAGAGAAGTTAAAAAACAAGCCCATAAGTGCTTAGTGACAATTGGAACCTCATTTCTCTGACTTCCAGTGCTTTCCTCTTTCATCACACTATGAAAAATAAACGATAACTGCTTTAATCAATAAACTTCGAATATGTATTTGCATTTTTTGATTTTTTAGAGTTGGGGATAAAACTGAATTATTTAAAGACCTTTCTGACTTCCCTTTAATAAAAAAGAGGAAGGATGAAATTCAAGGTGTTAGTGACAAGATCCGAATGCATTTGCAAGAAATACGAAAAATACTAAAAAATCCTTCTGCACAATATGTGACAGTATCAGGACAGGAGGTAATGTCAAACCTACTTCTATTTTCTATTAGTTTTCCTCTAGTAGAAAAGCTGTTTTAAAATGTAAATAAAAATCTGAGGATAGGATATGTATTATCTCTTCAGATTTTCTGTTTTATTCCGTGGAAATATGTTGTAATAACTTGTTTTGATAAGAATTATTTTAATGATGGTGTTTTATTAGTCTCTTGTGAAAGTAATGCAACTTAATGTTATATGTGTATTAGCGTTATCTGTTAAAATTATATTATAGAAAATCTCGATTATTATGAATAGCAACTTATAGAATTCATTTGTTCTAAATCCAGGAAAGAGAAGTTAGTCTTTGATCCCTGCCTTACAGATGATGAAATAATACAAAGTTGGCCACCTGTGTTGATTGGCTCATATAGTGATTAAACGGCAGGGCTTCCTACTAAAGTTAAGAGTATAGCTGCTAAAAAAACAAATCTAGAGTGAAAAACTACACTTAGTGAGTCTTCCATAAAATTATGGTACTGTTTAGAATGTGTTTCTTGGGGTGTGTACTTTTGTTTAAAGTTTGATAGTAGTGTCTCAATGAGAACCAGAAAAGGAAGAAGTATGCCTTTTAAATATGGTTGTACTTTTCAGTCCTTTTCTGAGTCTTGAGGCATGCTACTCCTATATCTTATGTTTAATAAAATATGAAGATTCAAACAGAGGGAGTTTGAGATATTCTGTTTTATTAAAATACCAAATTACGAAACTTATGGATAACTTCTATAGAGTGAGCATTTTATTCAGGATTTTTAAAAATAGATATTTTTCTGGTGGGGAAGAACTTAATTTCAAATCAAAAATTTTAACATTTACATTGCTTTGTGTGTTTTGCCAAAAGATTGTTGATTGTATAGTTATTTGAAATAAGAAGCTCTACATTAATAGAGAATATTCATTAAAATGTTTGTCTTGTGTTATTTCATAGATTTACCCATTAAGTCAACCTGTCTTCTGAACTACAATTATTAAGATATTATACTCAGCAGACATTCACAATGCCACATGGAGCTCTATATAATAGAAAAATGATTTGACAATATTTATACTTAAGTTTATTGTCTGAACAGACAAATACCAAATATTTAATTGTAGTTCTTGTTTTTACTATGCAGTCATGACCTTGCAAAGTGAAAATTGGCCTAAAGGCCACCATTCTGGCTATTGGTTTAAAATCAAATGATGAACATTGCTTTAGTTACTTTAATAAAAGATATGTAGTAGAAAAGTGGCTGCCTGGTATTACAGTGGAGAAAGCTAAGTGTAAGTGCCAGTTCTACCATTTATATGCTATATGACCATGGAAGAGTTACCTCTGTTATAAGACTATTATGGAGACCAATTAAGTTAAAATACATGAAAGTGCTTTTTAATCATAAAGTGCTATGCTTATACTACTCACATAATAACAATAATAGTAATAGAGTTACCATTTATCAAGTACTTGTTAAAGTCTAGAAGAGTGGTAGGTGCCTACATATATTATTTAATTCTTGTAACAACACCAAAAAGGGTCAGTCATTCTAGTTTTGTTGGAAAGAAAACAGGTTTGGAGTAGTTAGATAAGTTACCCAAGGTCAGAAGCACAAATCCAGCCCAGTTCTGCCAGACTCTTGTCTTTCTATTATGTTAATACCAGTATTTCATTCCATTTATTAATTCCAAATATTAACACAAAGGATTCTCAACACCATGGATTTTATCTGACAAAATCTGGACATTTTAGAGCTCATAGTATTCAAAATAAAATTTAAGTCTTGGAAAGACGGTCCTGGATTCATTTGGTAGTTTTTGAGTAAAAATGAAAGAAAATTATCAGGAATTCATAAGAGATAGTAGACTGGTTATTCATTGTGAGTGTGGCATTGAGGTTTAAGAAAAAGTACAGCATGGAGATCAACTAATTGTATTAAAAAATACTAGAAAGGAAGATCAGTTATCTTTTATCTTTACTAGGTTAAGTTGATGAATTTGAGGAACAAAGTTTCTTCGTTATTAATAGTAGGATGGATTATTGTTGGTTTTTAATAATCTTCTCTAGGATTTTAGTAGAACGTTAACACAAAATTACTTTCTTAAAACCTTTTGAAAATTAATGATTCCATTCATTGGAACACCAAAGGAATTCTAAATATTCAAACTTGTTTTCATCAAATTCTGTTTTAAAAAAGACTATAGTGGCTCACACCTATAATCTCAACACTTTGGGAGGCCAAGGCAGAAGGATTGCTTGAGCTCTGGAGTTCGAGGACCTGCTTGGGCAACATAGTGAGACACCATCGCTAAATATAAAAATAAAATTAGCCAGGCATAGTGGAATGTGTGTATAGTCGCTGCTACTCGGGAGACTAAGGTAGAGAATCGCTTGAGCCTGACAGGCTGAAGTTGCTGTGACCCGTGATCATGCCACTATACTCCACCCTGGGCAACAGAGTGAAACCCTGTCCAAAAAAAAAAAAAAAAGACTAATGGTATTCTCAAATTATTTAAAGGTACTTAAAAGACTAGGAAAAGACTCCATCAAATATGATTATCTCTGAGAAGTGAGGGAGGCACGGTGGAAAACCCTTATTTTACATTTATTGGTGCTTCTTTATACATTTCTGTTCTGACATTTTATTTCTATACATACAGCTTTTGTAATAACCTTAAAAGACCCATTATAGCAGCCCCACGTGATCCATGTGATAATATGTGGATCTTGTTATTTTTACCAAAATTAGGTAAATGTGCCGGTCTGTTAATCCAGTGTTATTTTGACAACATTCATTTTTCACCTCTGTTCCCAGCTTTTATATACTCATTAGAATACTAAAACCTTATTGTATGATGCCTTATTGTCTCTGACTATGTAAGTATTGGCTTAGAAGAAATTAATGAAAGCAGAAACTTTATATTTTTATGTAATAATATACATACATTATTATGTATTATGTAATGTATGTATGTATTTATGAAAGTATGTATGTATGTAATGAAAGCAGAAGTTTACATAGTTTACTGCTTCTGTTACAGTCTCTATCATATTTTATGAATATAGACCAATTATCTCTTAACCTTGAATCAAATATGGAATGGAAAAGGGGCAATATTTACATTGGGGGCAGTACTGATAAGTATTATTATTACTAAGGGAAAAAGAAAAATATTGGAAAAAAATCTTTAGAAAGAGTTTTATTCATTGACAGCATGCAGCATATCCAAATATCTGTTTACTATGTTTAAAATGTGGAAAATAATCTGTTAAATCTGAGTGCTTTTTACTTAGATTTAAAATATAGTAAAAAATGCTTAAATTATTAAGAGAATGAAAAGTGGGGAGTGGAGGAATGGGTTAAGTGTGGTGCTGGAGAAAACAGCAGTTTCTGGAGTGAGTAAGAATTTCGGCAAACCTAGTGATGTTGCCAGCCCAGTGATACCACAGGCTATATAGATTAACAATATCTGACATTAAATAAGACAGAATTGGGTCCCAGGAGAAGAATATGAGAGATTGCTATAATGAATCAAGGCAGACTACTCACATCAACACCTAAGAAACAAAGTCAGGAACTGTAAAGCAGGAAAAGTTGCTGTGAGAGCTTTCTAAGATTACTGGAATGTATGCTATTTTTCTATGTTAGTTTTCTTTTCTTTAGTAATAAAATTCTTAAACCAAAGGCCTACCTGTTCATTCTTAGAATGTTAAAAAAAAAGAATAGCTAGAGAAAAAATTTTGTATCTCATCATCGCTGTAGAAGAGAAGAAAAGCTAGCAGATGACCACTCTGAGGAGGAACCCAGGCTGAAATTCCGAGGACTGCTGAGTGAGGAAAAGGGACACTCAGGATCAGTCCAAGGACCAGCCACTGTCTGAGGACGTGACCAGAGGGGTTTAACTTGTGCCTTCCTGACTCCCACTGTTTTCCCGACTGCATTGGCACTGTATTGGCTCTGTATATGGTGGCCTGCTGTAGCGATTGTGGTCCTAGAGTAGCACTTTTGATACTTACAGATTGAATAGTTGTGGTCCAAACTGTTCCCAAGGTGCTCCTTGTTCAAAATGTCCGTCATCCCTTAGGTAGTAACTCCTGTGGAGCTCTGTTAGTCATTATGCATCTGGATGTGTCCTTCCCAAATATCAGTGATCCAATCAGTCTGTTCCTGAATTTTGCTGTTTGCCTTTAGCAGAGCTCTTTCCAGAATTATTTTATAAAAAGGCCAACATCTCCTTTGGTAGAACACTTTAAAATAGCAGAATTATTTAGCACAGTTTAAAAGTGGTTTTATCTTTCCCATTAATGATTTTTTTTGTGGTTTTTCAAAAGTTACTTTTTGTAGCCAAACGAGGCTTTTTAGACTCCTGACTCTTAACTATTTAAATGGGTGTAGCAGATTTGAAACTGTATTAATTCTCTGTACATGAGGGCATCACTAGTTCAAAACATTTTTCTAAGGGAAATTAGCCACTAATTCTTAATATAATTAATGTAAAAACTACAGTATTTCTATTAATGGGAAAAATAAACTCAAGAACCATGTTGATACTGTTATTAATATGAACATTATAAATACCTGAAGTTGTGTGCATATAATAAAACTGATAAATATGAAAAAGTTCTCATAGCTCTCTCAAAATTACAACCACACAGCTTCTAGGGTTCCATTCCACTCAAAATGGGTTTTTAGAAATTTATTTAAATGAATCATTGAATTTTTGTTTTTGTTTTTGTTTTTTATTGCAACAGAGTCTTGCTCTGTTGCCCAGGCTGGAGCGCAGTGGCGCGATCTCGGCTCACTGCAACCTCCACCTCCTGGGCTCAAGTGATTCTCCTGCCTCAGCTTCCTGAGTAGCTGAGATTACAGGTGCCTGCCACCAGGCCTGGCTAATTTTATCTCTATTAGTAGAGATGGGGTTTCACCACATTGGCCAGACTGGTCTTGAATTCCTGACTTCAGGTAATCCCTCCACCTCAGCCTCCCAAAGTACTGGGATTACAGGTGTGAGCCATTGCGTCCAGCCTGAATTTGATTGTAATAATACAGGAATGCAAGCACACTGAGAAGAGGTAATATATAACTAAGGCTAAAAATGAATGGTTTGATAGAACTTCACTTGCTTCCTGGCTGATGAGAACCTTATTTGCAGAGCACAGTTGGATCTATAAAGATATTATGGATGTAAATTAAAATGATAATGAGATATTATCTCACCCCAGTCAAAATGACTTTTATCCAAAAGACAGGCAATAGCAAATGTTGATGAGGATGTGGAGAAAAGGGAACTCTCGTACACTGTTGGTGGGAATGTAAATTATAGTACCACCATCACTATGGAGAACAGTTTGGAGGTCCCTCAAAAAAAAAAAAAATAGAGCTACCATATGATCCAGCAATCCCACTGCTAGATATATACCCAACAGAAAGGAAATTAGTATATTAAAGAGATATCTGCACTGCCGTGTTTATTGCAGCACTATTCACAATAGCTAAGATTTGGAAACAAACTAAGTGTCCATCAACAGACGAATGAGTAAAGAAACTGTAGTATGTATTCACAATGGAGTACTATTGAGCCATAAAAAAGAATGAGATCCTGTCATTTGCAACAACATGGGTGGATTATGGAGGTCATTAGGTTAAGGGAAATATGCCGGGTGCAAAAAGACAAACTTGGCATGTTCTCACTTAACTTGTGGGAGCTAAACATTAAAACAATTGAACTCATGGAGATACAGAATAGAATGATGGTTACCAGAAACTGGTAGTGGTAGTGGGGGTGGGGAGGATGAGGGGATGGTTAATGGATAAAAAAGAAACAGGAAGAATGAATAAAACCTAGTATTGGTAACAACACGGTAATTATAATCAATAATTTAATTGTACATTTAAAAATAACTAAAAGAGTATAATTGGATTATTTGTAGCACAAAAGATAAATGCTTGAGGTGATGGATACCCCATTTACCCTGATGTGATTATTATGCATTGCATGCCTGTATCAAACTATCTCATGTAACCAATGAATATATACAACCACCATGTACCCACCAAAATAAGAAAAAGATATTATGGTTCATATAAGTGAAAACTTAAAGAAAACTCTCATATGGAAAGAAATACTTTCTTCTCTTTATAGTTAGGGAAGTCAGTGCTTTCCTGTGAAGATACTTCTAGAGGATTTCGGTTCCTTGGGTAAAAACTATCTAAAAATCTTCTCTGTTCAGAATAGGGGAGGATCATATCTCAGACCGGTGTAACATCTACTAATTGAATATTTTAAAATCTTACATGCTTAGAAATTCAATCTTTTATGAGTAATAGAATTCTTAAGTGAGTATTAATAAATGAAAGAGATGGTTAATGAAAAAGCCATCATTCAGAGTATATGTATAACAATATTAGAAACATGAAAGCCCAAGTATTACAAATGTTTTACACAACACAAATTGTACTTTGTCCCAAGTATTGAACCCTTAATTAATAATATTTGTCTGTATTGACATATATACAGTATGAAAAACAATTCTGAACTTATTTTGAGTGTTTAACAATATATAATAAATTGTTATACCACAATTTGGGGAAAGCTTTAAAATATATAATGGTTACTCATCTAAATATCTGTTTATTTGTATTTGTTTTAGTTTATGATCGAAATAAAGAACTCTGCTGTATCTTGTATACCAACTGATTGGGTAAAGGTTGGAAGGTAGGTTTAAAATACATTTTTTTCTTATAATGAATTATAATGACATCTGTATATCTATGTGCTACTGGGCTCATAGTAGCCACGTTCTTGAAATTAAAAGCAGTTCTTTTTATTTTTATTTTTTCTTATGGAACTTTTTGTTTGTTTGTTTGTTTTTGTTTTTGTTTTTGCGGGGGGAGATACAGTCTTGCTCTGTTGCCCAGGCTATAGTGTAGTGGTATGATCTCAGCTCATTGCAACCTCCACCTCCCTGATTCAAGGGATTCTTCTGCCTCAGCCTCCCGAGTAGCTGGGACTACAGGTGTGCACTACCACCCCCGGCTAATTTGTATTTTTAGTAGAGACGGGGTTTCACCCTGTTGGCCAGACTGGTCTCAAACTCCTGACCTCAGGTGATTCATCCACCTCAGCCTCCCAAAGTGCTGGGATTACAGGCGTGAGCCACTGTGCCCTGCCCTTTCTTAGGGAACTTTTAACCAAGGAGATCACTATTTTTAACTCTTTATCATTGATTTTAAAACATTTTTCAAAAAGGTATCTTATTTTTACACATTTGTTTTCTTATTTTGTAAATTACTGTTTTATTCTTATAGCACAGGATACACATGGAAGAAAAGTTGAGGAACCTTCAATTGTAAGATTAATTTAGTTGCTTTTACTTCATGATGAATGCTATGCCTGACATTTCTTACAAGAAGCTGCAATTTAATTTTCTACCTCACCGAGCTCCACATTTCTTTACTCTTAATGCCTTCCTTGGCACATAATTATTGTAATTCTTTACATCTTTTTTTTATAACCCAGATCGTGAATTGATGAAAATAAATTAATCAAAAACAAATTTAGAGAACCACAATGGGACTCTGCCTTTTCTCCTTGGTTAGACATTAATCTCCAAGAGAGGACTCATTTAAAGACAAGGTATTAGGGAAGTATATACAGCTGTGAGTAGTATCCTTTGTGGAATATTTATTAGTACTGTTATCAATAAGTTGCACAAACATGAGATGAAAATGGTACATTTGCCTAAGATGGTAGAAGAGGGACCAGTAACTGGTAATAGTGTAGAGGCATTCTGTTTTAAGGATGAAGGGAAATTTTGACATAATGTATGACTGATTAATTTATTACACATATAATATACATATATACAAAAATATATATAATGATACATATATAATATATATATATTTTTAAGACGGAGACTCTTTTTGTCAACCAGGCTGAAGTATAGTGATGCAATCTCAGCCTATTGCAACCTCCGCCTCACGGGTTCAAGTGATTCTCCTGCCTCAGCCTTCCAAGTAGCTGGGATTACAGGCACCTGCCACCACTGCTGGCTAATTTTTTTTGTATTTTAGTAGACACGGGGTTTCACTAGGGGTGGGCCAGGGGCTGGTCTCGAACTCAAGTGATTCACCTGCCTTGACCTCCCAGTAATTTATTATTTTAACTTAAAAAGAAAATGTTTATTATCCATTGCCACATCATCAGATGCTGAAGGCACAGGCATGGATTTCTTTCGTTCTAATACCATCTTTTTTTTTAAAATGCTGCCAGAAGCTGTACTTTAGATTTGAGTATTATTGATTCTAGGGGAGGTTGTTTTCTCTTTTTGCAGACATTCTTTCCTTTATCTGCTTTTGTCCTGTATCACAGCTAATGAATGAAATATGCATTATGAAGAGAAATTACCAAAAACCATGTTAGTCTGTCTACAACAATAACCGAAATATCTCACTAAATGAGTTTTTCCAGAAGATAAAGCTTTGATAAATATGTTGGCATAGAAGTCTAGATGATACAATTTTAAAGCAACAAGCAAGGCATAAATCAGTGACACCATCTTTCAAATGTTAGTAATGTAAATTGAATCAACAGATAAGATAGTTTGGGAAAGGTTCATTGCAATTTATCTGTTGGGCCATAGGGTTTTGACAGAGATGGGTTAGAACATCAGGAGTCAGATTTTGAATGCAAAAGGCCCACCCCTAATCCAGCAACTTGGCAAATTAAAGTGCAACAGTGTATTACAAGAGTTGGGGAACAAAGACCAGATGCCTTGACCTTTTCTTCTTAAAGACTTATCATAATGACAGCATTAACAGCAATGGCAACCACCACCACCACCAAACAACTAATTTTTATTGAATACTTATAGGCGCTCTCCTAAGTGTTGTCTGTCTGATCCTGTCAAGAGTAACTATGAGGTAGATATTATTATCCCCGTTTCACAGATGAGGAAAGTGATATTTAGAGAAGGTCTGTTTCATTTGCCCCAAATCACATAGTTAGTAAGTAAGTAGCAGGACCAGAGCCTCGACCTGGCTTCTCTGACTGGGGACCCATGGCATCCCCTGTTGTGCTCTAGCTACTGAACGGAGAGCAGAGATGATACTTAAGCCCAGATGGGGAGCATGTGGTATTTCTTCCCATCCAGAGCCACTGTGCATCTGCACAGATCATAGTATCCTGAAGATCTCTTTCTTAATTGCCTCCTGAATTAATGCATTGCTATTCTTTGTAATGCTTTTTATTTTTCTTTTTTCTCTGAAATACTTCAGTCATACAGAAAAGCCCATAAAACAAAGAATAATATAACCTTCACCAGTGTATCTACTTCCTAGCTTTATCATACTTTCTTTTACCATATTTGCTTCTGATCTTTGTTAAAGAGCATTTTCACTTAGTATAATTTAAAGAAAAAAGCTTTTTGCCTATGAAATAAAAGTTCTAAACTTTGACTTTGCCATATGGGTATAATTTGAAATGCATTTTAAAAGGCTTCCTGAGCAAAGTCATGTTCTTTGGAATCAGTAGAGTTCAGGACCATAATTAATGTTCCTCTATTTACAGCTGTTTATTTTCAAGGTTCATCAGAGAATAATAAATAACTATTTTTATTTTCTAAAGTGATGGCATTTCGGATTTTTTACTAACCTTGATTTCCTATTTATGTTTTTTCCTGTCTTCTAGCACAAAAGCTGTGAGCCGGTTTCACTCTCCTTTTGTTGTAGAAAATTACAGACATCTGAATCAACTCCGGGAGCAGCTAGTCCTTGACTGCAGTGCTGAATGGCTTGATTTTCTAGAGTGAGTTTACAGTGAAAAATATAATCTGACTTTTTGCTATGAGAAACAGACTGGAAAAATCTTCCCATCAAAAAGAAAATAGAGATTACAGCTTGTGACCCACCATAAAATAGTTGAGTACATGTGTTGTCTGATTTTATTTCTTTTTTTTTTCTTTTTCTTTTTTTCTTTTTTTTGAGACTGAGTCTTGCTCTGTCACCTGGGCTGGAGTGCCATGGCACGATCTCAGCTCACTGCATCCTCCACCTCTCAGGTTCAAGCAATTCTCTGTGCCTCAGCCTCCCGAGTAGCTGGGATTACAGGCACCCACTGCTACACCCAGATAATTTTTGTATTTTTAGTAGAGACGTGGTTTCGCCATGTTGGCCAGGCTGATGTTGTTCTCCTGACCTCAAGTAATCCGCCTGCCTCGGCCTCCCAAAGTGCTGGGATTACAGGCTTGAGCCACTGCACCCAGCCCGAAAGAAATTCTTAAAAGCTACTGAAAGTTAAGATGACCACCTATATACCCTTCACCTAGGTTCATCACATGTTAGCATTTGCCACATTTGCTTTTTCTCTCTTATGTATTTTTTTCCTGAAACATTTGGAAGTAAGTTTTAGACATCATAACACTTTCCCCTAAATACTTAAACCTGCATCTTTAAAAATAAGGACATTCTACTATGTAATCTTAACACCATTATTACATCTAAAAAAATTAACATTAATTTGTGAATATATTTTAATTTCTTGAATTTTTCCAATGTTGCCCTCTCTTTAGATTTTAAAATGAAAGACGTAATCAACTTTTACATGTTGCATTTGGTAATTATGCTTCTTTAGTCTATTTGAACCTAGAATTGCCTGCCATTTTTTTTGTTTTTTTTACCATGGTATTTTTTGAAGACTCCTTGCCATTGTCTCAAAGAATGCCTCACATTCTGGATTTATTGATAGTCATATATTTATATTGTCAGTTTTAAGTCATAGTGTGCTGGCGAATGGCTAATAGCCAGCTCTTTGGAAGGGCAGTCATGTTTGTAGAGTTTGCTGGTTTCTGAAGTGTAAACACTCCCACCAGGGCTGATGTGAAACTACCACTGGACTGGAGTTGGGAAGAGATGTGCACAGTTGATTTTCATGAGTCCATAGGAGCCAGCTCTAGGCCACCACTGGTCTGAGTACTTTAAATATAAACTCATTATTTTTCATGTGACCCTTGTAAGGCTAAGTATCATAACCGACTTACAAATGAATAAAGTGAGATTCAGAAATACGAAGTTAATCTTCTAAGGGTAAGGGTTGGAGCCCAGATTTAGCCCCAGCCATCTGGCAGCCAGGTATGTGGCCTTTGCCAGCCTGCCCATGGTGAGCCCGCAGACATCAGTCTAAATACATCTCTGTTAGTCTCTTACTTTAAAATTGTAAACAGGCCAGGCACAGTGGCTCACACCTGTAATCCCAGCACTTTGGGAGGACGAGGTGAGCGGATCACTTGAGGCCAAGAATTCAAGACCAGCCTGGCCAACATGGTGAAACCCTGTCTCTACTAAAAATACAAAAATTAGCCGGGTGTGGTGGCATGTACCTGTAATCCCACCTAACTCAGTAAGCTAAGGCAAGAGAATCACTGAACCGGAGAGGCAGAGGTTGCAGTGAGCCGAGATTGCGCCTCTGTACTCCAGCCTGGGCAACAGAGCATGACTGTGTCTCAAATAAATAAATACAACCTTAAACACTAAAAATTCAGTGATGTCCTTCAGGGAGCTTTATTGTATTTCAAGTAATCAACCTGAAATGAAATGAAAAAAACAAAAAACAAAAAAGATATGTGAGAATTTTTACAAGGAAGTAAGTTGGTACCAATCTTTTTGCCCTGAGGAGTTTTGAATTATAAGACCAGGAAGAGATTCCAATTTACTTAAATCTTTTGAGACTATCTTGACTCAGAATCTTGAATGTAGGGATGGAAATTTTGTCTATTCAGTTTCTTTTCTATTTCACTTTCAATTTTCTATTTTAAGGGTTTTCAGAGCCTTTGAGTCTTTCAGTTCTCCTGGCTTTTTCCTTAGTATTACCACTGAGAATGTGAAAACTGAACTAAAATTACACCTTTCAGTCTTCAAGGACTCACATTCTAGAAGGGTCCTGGGATTTGGTGAGGTAATTTCCTGTTCACTCTATTCAGACCATACATAATTTCATATATCTGGCTTCTATTCTCTGTCATTATTCCAGACTAAAGAAAGTTCAGTACTCCCAGGCTAATCATCTTGGTGTTATTCTTGATTCTTTCTTCCGTTTGGTCCCTTTATCTGTTATCAAGTTCTTTTTTTTTTTGGTCTCACTCTGCCACCCAGGCTGGAGTGCAGTGGTACAATCATGACTAATTGCAACCTCTACCTCCCCAGCTCAGGCAGTCCTCCCACCTCAGCCCCCTAGTAGCTGGGACCACAGGCATGCACCGCCACACCTGGCTAATTTTTAAGTGTTTTTGTAGAGACAGGGTTTCTCTATGTTCCCCCTCATAATCTTGAACTCCTGGGCTCAAGTGATTCGCCTGCCTCGGCCTCCCAAAGTGCTGAGATTGTAGGTGCCAGCCACCATGCCCAACCTGTTATCAAATTTCTGATTGTCTTTTTCCACCTTTGAGATGTTTCTTTGATTTGTCCCTTTTTATGTTGTCTTCTAATAGCCCATTATTACCTCAAACCATTCTTACTGTATCAGCCTTCTGACTTGGCCTTCTACTAGGTTGAGCCAGGAGTTTTTATTATATTATCCCTAGGCTATAATTGAGATTGCAAAGAGTGAGCTAACAGTACACAGAAGCATATGATACTTTAATTACTAAGTGAAGAAAATGATGTAAAAAAGTAAAAGTATGATACAATTTTATATGTGTATATTCACATAATGCACAGCATACAGACTTGTATATTTTAAAGATTATATATGCTTATTGTATTACTAATATGCTTATTGGCCATGTGTATATCTTTGGAGAAATATCTATTCCTATGTACATGTGAACATATATGTGTATGTGTGTATATATATATATATATAGACTCAAAACATTTACTGATTATTTCTGGATGGTGAGGTTACTGGTGATTTTAATTTCTTTCCTTTGCAAATGCAGTTGGCTCTTGATATCTGTGAGTTCTGCATCCATGGATTTAACCAACTGCAGATTGAAAATATTCGAGGAATGAAAAGGATGGTAGCATCTATACTGAACATATACAGGCTTTTTTTTCCGCTTGTCATTATTTCTGAAACAGTACAATATAACTGCTATTTATTTATAGCATTTACATTGTATTATGTATTGTGAGTAATCTAGAGATGATTTAAAGCCTATGGGAGGATGTACATAGGTTATATACACCTACTTTGCCATTTTATGTAAGGGATTTGAGCATATTGGATTTTAGCATCTGCAGGGCGTCCTAGAACCAATCTCCTATGGATACCGAGGGATGACTGAGCACGATTTCAGAAGTACCTATAATGTATATATATTACTTTCAGAATAAGAAAAATGCATTAAAGTTTTTATCCAAAAAAAGAATATTGGCTGAAATTTAGCTAGAGCGTTTTGCAGCTAGAGCCCCCACTTGAGAGCAGCATTGATTGTTATGTACACTATTTATTGAGGTGCCAGATGGTGTGACTGTGATATCATTAAAAAAGTGATTAACCTCAATGAACCTGACATCAGAGGACTGAATACCAGCATTACAAATGTATTTGTCACTTACTGAGGTACTAACTGTTGTGTATTAGTCATATTACTTTTGATCAAAATGTTGCCAGAAATTAAGGCTGTAGACACTGCTGTGGAGTAAATCCTCCCTTGAAACATGTCTCTCTTTTATTTTTTGTTCTAGAAGATGCACTGTGTATATTCAGTAATCTTCTCAATTGCAAATTATTTAAAAGTTGAATTATATAATAAAAAATTGTAGAAATTCATTTGCAAATAAAATATTTTCAATTTTTATTAACTTCAGATATCATTGAGCAACACTTGATGGTAAACTTCTGTAGTCATCATAACACCATAACAGCTTTAGAACCCAAGTGTCTTCATCTGCTTCTTATGAACTCAGCAATGTCTTTTGGCCAGAGGTTAAATCATAGTGCCTTGATTTCATCCTTAAGTTGGTTGGTAGCATAGTGATAAAATTGCTTGTTGTTATGCTGTAAACCCAGTCTATCAGATTGTTATCTGCATTGACCATTTTTCAGCTTACCATTTTTCTAAGTATGGATAATCTCCCTGAAGTTTGGCAAAGTATATCAAATGGACAAAGACCAAGAAGTCAAGGCTTCTTTAAGAGTTATGATGTTATAGGTTTTTGATAGTTTTTCATTGTATTCATGTCTTATTTATACCATTGACATCAGAAGGAACATTGTTGTTCATATCAAAATAATTACTTTATCCCTCCCTGCTATTTTGTTGTTGTAACTGAAATGGGACCCACTAAGAGCAGTGTTAACTCATTTCCATCTTAAACATTAGATCATCAGAGACAGCTACCCTCAAGTCAAGCTGCTGAGTAGTAGCAAATTAGGGTCTTGAGGACCTGGGCAGGATCTGAGAAGGAGGGAAAGAGTGAGGAAAAAAACTGACCATTTGTTACTGCTAAAGCTTTGATGCTCATGTCCCAAGAGGCAAGGGCAGAAACAGCAAATGTGGCTGCTTTCTGGCAAAAGAGAGGGTGCCTAGATAGGAGGACTGGATGGGTCAGTAATTAGAACAAGGACAGCATACGCCACAGTGCAAGAGGACAGTGAGTGGTCAGATCTAAAGTCAGAGCCATGGCCAGGTGCAGTGGCTCATGCCTGTAATCCCAGCACTTTGGGAGGCTGAGACAGGTGGACTGCTTGAGGCCAGGAGTTCGAGACTAGCCTGGCCAACATGGGGAAACCCCGTCTCTACTAAAAGTACAAAAATTCGCTGGGCGTGGTGGTGCACGCCTATAATCCCAGCTACTCTGGAGGCTGAGGCAGGAGAATCGCTGGAATCTGGGAGGTGGAGGTTACAGTGAGCTGAGATCGTGCCACTACACCCCAGCCTGGATAAAAGAGCGAGACTGCTACGTCTCAAAAAAAAAAAAAAAAAAAAAAAAAAAGGAAAAAAGGAAAGAAAACATAAAGTCAAAGCCAGAGCAGGAATAACAAGGCAAAGTCAGTGAGCAGCCACTCCGGGTTTAGGGTGACTCTTAACTCTAAACACCCAGGACAGTTAGGCCAGTGCAACATGTGGCATCTTCAAAACTAGGGAGCATTTTATTTTATTTTATTATTTTTTAAATTATTTTTAAATGTTTGTGGGTATATAGTAGGTGTATATATTTATGGGGTACATGAGATATTTTGATACAGGCATGCAATGTGGAATAAGCATATCACGGAGAGTGGGGTATCCATCACCTCAAGCAGTTATCCTTAGAGTTACAAACAATCCAATTACACTCCTTAAGCCATTCCAAAATATACAATTAAGTTATTGACTATAGTCATCCTATTGTGCTATCAAATAGTAGGTCTTATTCATTCTTTCTATTTTTTTTGGATCCCTTGGCCATCCCCACTTCCCTCCACATTTTAAAGTGGTGACTGAGGGCTGCCTGTCTGATGCCAGGGTCCTGTCCCTTTTGTGTTTGGGGTTTTGCACAGATTCTAACACGGTGGGAATCATATTATTTGTTTTGATGAACTTTAATTCAGTGAGAAATAGATAAGTTGTATTCATTATGTTCTGTCTACTCAGCAAATAAGTATATAGTACACTGTGAATATGTTTTTCAGTTCACAAAAAAACACAGAAATAAAGCTGGAGAGTTAAAATGTTGTTCCTAGTATCTGGAAAAAGTCATTTATGTACAATACCTTATTCTAATACTAGAAAAATCAGAAGTTACAGTTTTAAAAAGTCATAATGATTATATAGGAATAGTCCATCACTCTAGTAGTATAATCTGGATATCTTTTTCAAGCTAGGAAGCACTCTAGAAACCTTTGGATTTCAGTACTAAATAGACTGTCTCAACATTTCTGAAACTCACACTACAATAGACAAATATTTTTTAAGAGAGGCATTTATTGTTCATTTGTCGTCTTTTTTCTCATTTTTGGATCATCTTTAAAAGGTCGTACAGAATATCTGAGCTATACTATTTTTTAAATGTAGAAAGTAGGCACCTTATTTCTATTTTATTTCTATGTATGCACAAAAATAAGAAAAGATGCTAGTAGGAGTCTGTAAAACTGCACTGTGAGGTAGGGTGATAGGAGGAGCTCAGTTTGAATCTAGGCTCAATTGCTTTAGGCTAACTGCTTTTTCTCTCTGAACTTCATTTGTAAAACTTAGGTAATGACCTATCTTTATGGTTGTTGTAAAGAAAAAAATGTAGTGGCTTCTTCATAGTCTTTGATTAGTAAATGTTTGTTTTCCTTTCAGCTTTCCTTTTGGACCTATTTACAGTTAGTTAATTACATTTTCTCATTTTCCAATCTTTGAAGAATTTGTGACTTATCACCACCTACTTAAAGTTTTTTTTTTTAATCAAACAATCTCTTAATCTCTCTTGGAGGCAGAGTAGTTACTATAACGATTTAAGCTCAGCTGTATGTTTCCTGTTACTTAAAAAGATACTTTATACTGGTCATTCTTAAAAATTAAGTTTTGGGTCATTTTTGTAGTTTAATTATGTATACTTCACACATCCACAATTGATCACTACATACAGATGTCCACAATTTATACGACACTACACACATTGACATAAAATACTATGATATGAGATAATGGGATAATTTAAGAAAAAAGAAAAAAGTATTCATGTGTGTTTTCCAAATAAGTTTTTCAATAAAAGCCATTTAGGCTTTTACATCAATAGGTATTATAGTTTTAAGTAGCCAAAGACTTGAGGCAATGACCATAATCTTTTAAAAAACAAATCTAAAATTTAGTTTTTATATGCATTAATAAGATAACTGAAGATAAGTGAGAAAAGTACCTTTTCCCCTTGTCTTCAATAAATATTTATTACAGTGTTTATTTTATGCCAACATTATAAACTAGATGTTTTGTCTACAATGGGGTTAATCAGATGACAATCTGCTCTCAAGAAGCTTCCAGTTTAGTGTGAGAGAAAGATATTGAAACTGTTATTCCAGGTTTGGAGGATGCTGTGAAGAAGCACAGGGGAAGCTGATGTACATGAATATTTCATGATGTTATTGAAGCGAAATGAAAATGACTGCTATATTTGTGTTATACCTTAAGTTCAAATGTCAGGGTCAGATGAAATCTATGATATGTTCTTAACAGTTGATATCTTTACGTAGAAGCTGTTTTACATTTATATACAAAACAAAAAGAAGCCTCAATAATTTAATTATTGTATTAAAAAGTAAAGCTGTTTGGTGTAATCTCCATCTCTCTTAACTGTTAGGAATGCCTGCTAATCATCTGTACGCTTACACTAGCTGATAAAGTGATTGCTTATTGTAGAGCTATTATAGGTCTAAGAAATCAGTTTGCTCACCTTTTCGTTATTGCTGCTGCTTCTGTAGGAAATTCAGTGAACATTATCACTACTTGTGTAAAGCAGTGCATCACCTAGCAACTGTTGACTGCATTTTCTCCCTGGCCAAGGTCGCTAAGCAAGGAAATTACTGCAGGTAATATATTTTTCATTTTCCCTTCTATCAGTGCCTTAGATAAGATGACATTATTCAATTAATTATAGTGTCTTTATTATAAAATATTACATTTACTCATATGTGTTAGACTCTTGGGAAAGCTGAATGTCATACATATATAGCTTGATTTGAAAATTAAATTCATTTCTTGCTTGCTCTGTCACTGAGTACAATGAAAGCAGATGTTAAAGTTTATGTGGGTGACTTTTTAATAAAGTTTCAGCACTCTTTTCATTTGTTAACTTTTACTTGAACACTTATAATTATAAAAGTTTGATTAGGCAAGAAAAGACTGAGAAGAATAGGGACTGGGGGGCATTTCAGTGATCTGTTCCTTTTGTTAAGAGCCCATATTCATCCCACTATTCTTTATTGACCTCTAAGCATCCCAACATGGAATATTTATTCTCTTTTTCATAAAGGATGTTAGCACAAACAAATCTAACTTTAAAATTCAGATGGCCGGGCATGGTGGCTCACGCCTGTAATCCCAGCACTTTGGGAGGCCAAGGCAGACGAGATCAGAAGATCAAGACCATCCTGGCTAACACGATGAAACCCCATCTCTACTAAAAATATAAAAAATTAGCCGGGCGTGGTGTCACGCGCCTATAATCCCAGCTACTCGGGAAGCTGAGGTGGGAGAATTGCTTGAACCCGAGACGTGGAGGTTGCAGTGAGCCAAGACCATGCCACTGCACTCCAGTCTGGGCGACAGAGTGAGACTCTGTCTCAAAAAAAAATTCAGACAAAACTTTCATACAAGTTGTATGTCTTCCAAAAGCTTGAGTTTATATATACTTAAGAAAAAGTAAGGCTGGGCATGGTGGCTCATGCCTGTAATCCCAGCATTTTGGGAGGCTGAGGCAGGAACGTCTCTTGAAACTGGGCATTTGAGACCAACCTGGGCAACATATTGAGACCCCATCACTACAAAAATTAAAAAATTAGCTGGGCATGGTGGTGCACACCTGTAGTTCCAGCTGCTTGGGAGGCTGAGGATTGCTTTAGTTCAGAAGTTTAAGGCTACAGTGAGCCATGATAGTGCCCATGCTCTCTAGCCTGAGTGACAGAGCGAGACCCTGTCTCAAAAAAAAAAAAAAAAAAAAAGGTACAGTTTAAAAAATATAAAATTAAATAAAGTTGTTCAAGTTCAAATGTTTTATTCTTTCCAGGAAGCATCTAGATTCTTTCCTTCACTGCCATAGATGTCATCAGTATGCTTTCCCCCATCTTTCTTGCTATGCCTGTTCTATCCTACTGTATCCTCCTAGCTCTGTGAGTTATCCTTTGTGTCCTGTTCTACCAGGAAACATTTTGTCATTGTATAATTTTGATAGCAACAGAATAAGTCGATGTAAATTTTAGTGCCGAATAAATCACTTAAAATTTTGTTCCAAAGTGAAAATCTTCTTGGTAAATCATATCCGTGTCATGATTATTACATAATGATTTAACTTGGTAGAGCACCTAGGATTTTATTTTGAAGTTAATGTCACAAATACTTTTATTTTTTTCTTTTACAATGAATTTGTAACCCACCTAGATAAAAAATCTTGTCTTCAGAATTACACTCTAAAATCCAAAAACTATCCTTTTTTCATAACTTTAAGTGTCTTTCTCCAACAGATGATTTCAGATTATTTACTCAGAAGATACTGTAGTCACTTTTTTTTTTTTTTCTTGAGACAGAGTCTCACTCTGTGGCCCAGGCTGGAGTGCAGTGGTGCGATCACGGCTCACTGCAAACTCTGCCTCCCAAGTTCAACGAATTCTCCAGCCTCAGTCCCCTGAGTAGCTGAGATTACAGGCGTGTGCCACCACGCCTGGCTAATTTTCGTATTTTTGGTAGAGATGGGGTTTTACCATGTTGGCCAGGCTGGTCTCAAACTCCTGGCCTCAAGCAATCCACCTGCCTTGGCCTCCCAGAGTGCTGGAATTATAGGCGTGAACCACAGCGCCTGATCTGTAGTCACTTTCTTTGTAAAATGTGAGAGCATCTGGGATTTTATTAGCCAGATATATTTAAGAAGAATAATTTAGGAAAGTAGTATTTATTGGTGTTATGAGTAAGTTCAGAAATGTGGTTACACTTGAAAGTTCTGAGTCAAAGAACTACAGGAGGTCGATGGTAGGATATTATGCTTTTGAAAAAGACCAACGAATGACCAAGAAACTGATGAAAAGATGTTCAATCTTAGTAATCAGCGAGTGCAAATTAAAACAATGGGATAACGCTGTTTACCTGTTTTGTTGACAAACATTAGAAAGTTTAATAATCCAACTTTAGGTGAGGGTATGAGAAAACAAGTTAACTTTCATATCCTGCTTGTAGGTAGGTAGATTGGTATATATACTGTTATCTATTAAAATAAAAAATATGCATACCCTATGACTTAGGAATCACACTTTAAAAATTTACTCTAGCTTTGGGAAACACTTGGACGTGTACACGTGGAGATGTGTATAGGATTGTTCATTGCATCATCATTTATAAGCAAGAATTTGGATGCAATCTAAATGTTTAACAGTGGAAAATGTGTGGCAGCTTTGAAAGAATGCTGAATATCTGACAAGAAGTGATCTTCAATATACTCTACCATAAGGGTCTATTGAACCTAACTTCAGTTTCTTAAAGGCCATTTAAAGAACAAAGTTTACTTTTTTCCCTTTAAAAAGGAGAGTAAAACTTACTCTGTCTTACACTTACCATGTGGGTTTATTGGATTCTTTTATAAATGTAAGATGCATTTTGGGATCTTTAGTGATCTTATTTTTTCTATATCTTGGAACATTTTGTTATTTCATCATCCTGAGAATTGTTTTAACATTGTTTATCATTTGTTTCAACTATACTATAAAAGTATAAAATGGGCTGGGTGCGGTGGCTAATGCCTGTAATCCCAGCAGTTTGGGAGGCCAAGGCGGGCAGATCACAAGGTGAGGAGATTGAGACCATCCTGGCTAACACAGTGAAACCCCGTCTCTACTAAAAATAAAAAAAAATCAGCCAAGTGTGGTGCGGGCGCCTGTAGTCCCAGCTACTTGGGAGGCTGAGGCAGGAGAATGGCGTGAACCCAGGAGGTGGAGCTTGCAGTGAGCTGAGATCACACCACTGCACTCCAGCCTGCAGCCTGGGCGACAGAGCGAGACTCCGTCTCAAAAAAAAAAAAAAAGTCTAAAATGAAAAGAAAATGGGAGAATGATGATGCAGAGGTGAGGAGAGAAATCACTATCACATCATCCGTTTTCTTATTGTATTGCCCGTGTTACATCATCTTCCAAGAAGGTTTATAAAAGAAGAGTGCAGATGCCACAGTTGGAGTCTGCTTCTAACTTTCATTGAACACAGTTGAAAATTCAGAATTTTTCATTGTTCACCCATAAAGGCAAAGAGAAAAAAATTGACAGAAGGCCTTTCATAATTATTAGGTTCATCAGATGATGAATGTGAAGAGAAAGAAACCAGTGCCCTGGATATTCATGGTGATGGTGAAATTTCATGTATCAGCAAAATCTGAGATTCTGAATGCTCAGACAATATCCTAGGTGAATTTTCTCAAACTCAAGGATTGGTGTGTGAATAATATATTTGTAAGGGCAAAATGAACTCTGTTATTCTCGTCCAGTTAATCATTCAATAGGAAACATTCATCATGTAATATTTGGTGACAAGAACCTGGACTGTCCTGTTTTGCTGAAAGACATGATAGTATTCTTCTATCTTTTATAATATTTATTCATTAAAATTTACTTGATACAATTTATAGGTTATAATTTATAGACAGACAGGAGATTGAAAGGATATAGATGATGTAGAAATAAAGGTACTCATTTGATTATTCTAATTGGTGTTGATAAGTCAAAAAATGAAAATATTTTGCAATTATGGAGCAAAACTGACATCTCTTTAAGAAAATTATAAGCTTTAAAATATTTTGAAAACTTCAAGTATTTATATTTTCGTTGATACAAATGTGAAAAGAATCAGAAATAATCTGCTCTAGAACCTATTAGAAATGTATTGAAATTTGGAATTTAGTATTTATGAATGAATATGTTCCAGATGCATGCTTGACAGCTGATGAGCAATGACCTTCAGAATGTGTTACCCATTTCAGATATATATATGCCTTGAAAACCAGGAGAATATGGAATAAAACTTTGAGATTTACTGTGTTTAAATTCTTATTAAAATCTGTCATGAGGTTTTTTTTTTTTTTACTATCCCCTTATTCTCATTTCTGTAAAATTATTTGTGAAATGACTTTAAAGGAATATATTATATCCAGATAGTAAATGGTGAAATCTATTTTTTATGTATGTACTGAGAGTTAAAATAAACTATCGAATTTTTTAAATTACAGAATGATATATTACAGTATGACTTTTCTAAAGAAATCACAACCAGTATGATGCATACATAAACATAAATGCACAGAAGAAGGTTGGAAAAGGTAGACAGCAAGCTGGTCTCAGTAGTAACATCTGGGAAGGAGAGCTGAGAGTAAGGCAGGGCTCAGAGGGTCTTGACTACACGGCTAAAGCTGTAGATAAAACAGATATAGAGGTCTTTAAAAAACTTAAAGAACAACAAGGCCAAAATATGATTCTTGTATCCAAGTAAAAGATACAAAAGACCATAGAAAGATGTTTTAATGAAACAACGTATGAAAATTTTAGGTCATTTCATTTCCAAGTCCAACACATAGTTTAATAATTACATCTAGAAATAATTTTATGTGATTTGCTTTATTATATTCATTAATGAAAATAAGTAGCAATAATCTGAACTGTTATCTTTACTAGTGAAAATATTGGTTTGATCTCAAACAATAATAGAAAAATGAAAAATAAAGCCCAGCATGGTGACATGCACCTATAGTCCCAGCCTCCTGAAAAGGCTGAGGCAAGAGAATCACTTGAGCCCAGGAGCTTGAGGCTGTAGTGTGCTATAATTGTGTCTGTGAATAGTCACTGCACTCCAGCCTGGGCAGCACAGTGAGACCCTGTCTCTTAAAAAAAAAAAAAAAAAAAAAGATCTCGTAAAGGTAAACTACAAGGGTGAAGCCATTTATAAGACTCTTCTAAAGTATGTGCTTCATTGCACAATTATTATAATAAATATTTTCACAATTTTTATTTTATAGTTCAAATTTAACTTTTATACTCAAGGTTTTATTCTGGACATACGTTCTTAAAATCTATGTTTAAAGTTTTGTTTTCTGTCGTACAAACAGCACTGAAATTTTTCATGCTGTCTTAGTTTTTTTTTTTTTTTTTTAAGGCTATTTCCATGCTTAGTAAATTGAAACATACTTCTTTTTGCAGACCAACTGTACAAGAAGAAAGAAAAATCATAATAAAAAATGGAAGGCATCCTGTGATTGATGTGTTGCTGGGAGAACAGGATCAATATGTTCCCAATAGTACAGATTTATCAGTAAGTACCATATAATACAAAACAATAAGTCAACATAACATCCCAAACTTTTAAATATGAAAGAAACATTTTTATAATTAAAAGTTACCCGGGAGGCAGAGCTTGCAGTGAGCCGAGATCCGGCCACTGCACTCCAGCCTGGGCGACAGAGCGAGACTCCGTCTCAAAAAAAAAAAAAAAAAAAAAAAAGTTACCCAAATTTCAACTTTGGCTTTAAATGGGCTAAGTCTGGACATAGTTTTATATTTACCATGAAATGTGGAATTGGTGCTATTTCCAATGAAAGATTATCAATAGGTTTAGTAACTAAAAGTTTAGTTCTAATTAGTTATCCTAGGTAACCCAATAAAAATATTTTACATTTGTAAATACCCAATATGCAAATAGAGTTGGAATAATACCATAGTTTTTGCAAATTCATATTAGCATGTAGTGTTCCATCCTTTGTACTGTGACTATTTTCAGATGTTCTGTGAAAGAATCAGAGATGCCTTTGCAGATTCCAGTGATGAGAATTTTCATTATAGGGGCTGTATTTCTCTTACATAACACGAATGATCCTGAATACTTAATTTATTTAACACATACTTACTGAGTGCCTGTGTCTCAGGTAATGAAGCGAGTATTAGGAACAGAGGGTGGTAAGCAAGACAGAAGTCTTCCCTGCCCTCACAGAGCTTGTTGTATAGCAGAGAAGACAGGCTAGTGCAATACAGCTTAGTGCATGGCATGTTGGAGGAGACCAGGATGGCCTGGGGATAGGTAGCAGGTTAACCTAACCCAAGGGCAGGGAAGCATTGAGGAATGTTCCCCAGGGATGAGATACCAACTGAAGAATGAGTCGGTGCAAGCCATGGTATTGTTAGGGGAGTATTCCAGGTAGAAGAACCAGCATGGCAGTTGTTGGAAGTGAAGCATAGCAGGATGAATTCAAGGAACTGAAAGACGATGAGTGAGGTTGGAGTGCAGAGTGTAAAGAAAGAAGTGTTCAGAGATAAGGAAGAGGCCAGTTTACTTATATGAAGAAATTTACATTTTTCCCCCTAAAAGATTAAGAATACTAGCAAGAGAGTGATAGAAGCTGGGGAAAAATAGTGAAGTGGTGGCAGGGTGTGTGAGTTCCATTGTCAAAGCTAAATGGAGCTGGGCACTGAAGTGGTAAGGATTGATCTTATTCAATAATACTCCTGCAGTAGGGAAGAGTCCGGTGTGAATTGAACTTGACTTCATTTTGGCATAGATGACTGGGTGTTTTAAAGGGAGTATGAGGGAACAGGGAAAGGGAATGAGCTGGGGGAGGAGAGCGAGTGAGGTGTGGTTATGTGAAACCCATGTGGGTTTACTAATTGTTTGCTAATACCACATTTCAAAGAGTCAGCTCTCTGGTCCTTAAAAAGACAATTTTGGGTGATAGATTTACATCCCAGAGGGGCAGAAAAAGTCTTTATAATTGCAAGCTTTCTAAGGTAACTGTTCTAAGAAGGGCTTCAGCATCTGGCTGCCTGTCACCAAATTTTGACTGGAATGGTGAATCCTGGCAGCACCAAGCTTTCTCAGGCAGGTACTTTTAGTGGGGCTGGGGTCATCCTAAGGATGCAGCCTTGAGCTGTTAGAAACTATGCTAGTGGGCTTGCTTCTAAGTAGGGAGGGTGGACAAAATCATTTTTATTCAAAGTCTGTAGGTTTTTATAGGTCAAAGTTGAGAACTAGTCCAGAATAGGGCTCAGAGAAACCTGATGAGAATTTGGTCAAGGACATGGGGTAAAATGGGATGGTGATGGGTCAAAAAATTAATATGTAGGGAGTAGTTATGTGAGAGAGAAGGTGTCAAAGAATAAAATGCCAGACTTTCGGATATCAGATGTGGTGGTCTTCTGGGTGATGGCAAGATCCTAGGTATGGCTATAGAAGGTGGGTAGCAGAAGGGAGAAGGTCTTTGGAGATGAAGAGATCAAGGAACAGAGTTTGGGAAAAAGTTGTCCACGTGAATGTTGAAATCTAAGATAACAGCAAGATTAGCCATAGAGGACAACAAGGATCCAGGTGTCCGAGATTGCAAGGAATGGTGATTGGGAATTGTGAAGTTTATAGATGGCTTAGATTGAAGACAGACAGTGGTAAAGCCCTAAGGAAGCAAAGAAGAACTTCTGAACCCTGAACCCTGAGGTATATGGTCCATGGTTGGATGTGGCAGAAAAAGGTCAGCCCCCAAATGAGGGAGCTGCAGGGGAATAACAAACAGCCAGCCAGGTTTCATTTTAGTGTATGAAGGAAATGTTAAGCAAGGTGGTTAGAAACAGAAGTACTAAGGAATTTTTCTGAGGACAGTGAAAAATTGAGATGTAGGGGAGCATTTGGAATGTAGGTCAGAGAAAGCTCAGAATAGTAGTGAGCTGGGACTGTAACAGAGTATTCTACCTCGGGCTGTGAGCAAGGGTGGCAGAGATGTGTGGCATTGTGCATTTGGCTGGCCATGAGAGGGAGATGTGAAAGGAAATACTTTGAATGACATCTAGTTTAATATTGCATTTTCATATCGTAACAAGACTTGTTGGTAGTATATAATGCATGTCTTAGTCTGTTCAGCTGCTGTAACAAAATATCATAGACTGAGTAGCTCATAAACAACAGAAATTTATTTCTCAGAGTTCTAGAGACTGGAAAGTCCAAGATCAAGGTACCAGCAGATCAGTTTCTGGTGAGGGCCTGTTTCCTGGTTCCTAGATGGCACCTCACATGGTGGAATGGGTAAAGGGTCTCTTACCCATGTACTCACACAGTGGAAGGGGGAAGGGGTCACTCTCAGGCCCTCATGAACTTATCATCTCCTGAAGGCTCCATCTTCTAATACCATTGCCTTGCGGGTTAGGATTTCAACATACGAATTTGGGAGAGATACAAATATTCATACCATAGCAACCTAAGACCTGGTGTCTATAAACCTGTTCATTCGTATTAGGAAATTTTTATATTTATTAATCAAATAAGTTAATAAGTACCAATCTTTTTACTGTCTTTAAAAAGAAGACTATGTCTTTGGGAGGCCTAGGCGGGAGGATCAGTTGAGCTCAGGAGGTCGAGACCAGCCTGGCCAACATGGCGAAACCCTGTCTCTGCTAAACATATAAAAATTAGCTGGGAATGGTGGCGCCTCCCTGTGATTCCAGCTACTCGGGAGGCCGAGGCAGGAGAATTGCTTGAACCTGAGAGGCCACTGCACTCTAGCCTGAGCAACAGAGCGAGACTCTGTCTCAAAAAAAAAAAGAGACTATGTCAACATAAGAATTTTTTTTCAGTTCTCATAATACCAGTAGGATATGGCTTTTCTTGAGAAAGTAATGTAAGTTAAATATAAACTAAGCAACTAAATATTAGGACTATAAGTCTCTTAAAATAATTTCCTGTTACTGTTTCCATGCCCATCTACTTGACCCCAAGAATATTACCCCAAGAAATTGACTTCTTTCTTTCCTTTTTCATTCCTTTCTTTTAAAAAGTAAGTTACGCTTTAATAAAACAAGATTTGAAGAACTAAAATAGCCTTCTGTCTAATTACAATAATGTTTTAAAGAACATTGAACTCTTATATTTAAATCTTTACAAAATAAATGGAGTAATTTTTTTTCCAAGCAGGCATCTCAGAATATTCCAGAATATTCGTTTCTATTACATATGCTTTTTCTAACTTGTGTAGGAGTTGATATAGAACTGTTGCTATGGTGAAGTGCATTCTATTTTTCAGGGTAAAAATTTATATATAGGGATAGTGTTGAGAAAGAACTTACGTAAAATTCAATTTAAAATATTTTATGAATGTTAATTATAAAATATACCCTGAAAATAATTTCAAAGTTAAATGACATTGTTGTTTTTGATAATCATGGGGTTTTAAGAACTGGTGTTTTGTAAATGTAATTAAGAGTATACTTTTCTGTATTCTGTATTACGTGAACTTATTATAGTGCTTCTGAATACGCCAACTTTCTGCCCGCTTTTCCTCTCCCAGTTTTAAGAATACTTTTTAAAACCCTCTTTCTTTTTTTCCTCTTCCTTGATTCACTGTATAATCCAAGCATTTATACATGTGGTCACCACTGGAGCTTCCTCCTCCACTCTGCCCACCTCCATAGATTCTCTACTCTGCAGCCACAAGGCTTCTGGAACCTGCCATGCCACTCTCCCTTTTGAATTCATGCTTCACACTCCAGCCAGATTGGAGTTCATGCCGTTCCCAAGTCACTGTGCCTCTGGAACTTGGCAGATGGTGTTCCCTCTGCCTAGAATGTCATCTTTCCCCACCCCAACCACTCCCGCCTCACACACTCCCACATCCACCCACCAATCACCCACCCCACTCCCCAGCTCTGGCTTGTTCAAGTCTTGCCTTGGATGTCAGCTCTTGCACTCAGCCTTCCTTTGCCCAGCTGGGATGGGTAGCCCTCTCACATACCCTTGCCACTCTGTTTCTCCACATCTCAGTACTTATTCCGCCAAATTATAATCATTCTTTTTTTTATCTGCCTTTCCCAGTGGACTGTAAGCATGAAGCAAACAGGGACTGTACTCTGTCACCTATGTGTAATCCCTGTATCAGTCACAGTTCTCTGGCACATAGCTGGCACCTAATCAGATTGATTAAATCAGTAAGGATTAGCTAGAAGCCTTTAGCAGTCTCCAAGTCTCACTTGAAATTTTTTTTTTTTTTTGCCTTTTATTTTCTACACAAAATGTTATTTTTCAGGATATTATATGGGGATTTCCCCAATTTACAGAATAATTTTACTGTCAAACTAAAAGGGAAATTTGGGATCTTTTAGTGTAACCACCTCTTCATACTTCTGAGTAAACTATGGTTCAGAAAGGGGAAATGATCTGCCAGAAGTTACTCAGGTTGCGTCGTCTTGAACTGTTTCCCAAAACATAAACATATTTTAAGGCAAGCCAGTGCTTTCCAACCTTTTTCACTTTGCATCATACAGAAAATGATAATATTTTAATGG